AATATATATATATATATATATATATATATATATATACATATATTTGATTAAAAATTATAATTTTTATTTATATTCTATACCAATATGTATTTTTATTCTGGCACGATTTAACATAAAGTGGTATTCATAGTCAGTATAGTTTCTTATATAAGATTATCTTAAGATTATATTTCAATCAATAAGATAACCGTATAAGAGTCTTACTTAAGATCATCTTAGATATAAGAACGGACTGTTATGAATACCGGCCATAGAGATTTGTAAAAAGAAAAAGTAAAAAGAAAAAAAAAATAGTAGAATAATTTTTTCCAGAATTGAATTTTTTCAATATCTGATTTTTTTTTATGACAAATTTTATCATAACTTTTTTTAATCCTTAATATTCAATATTAAGTATCTTATAATTAAACTACAAGCTTTTTCAACTCTTGTTCGAAGAAATTAAAATTAATTTGAAGTGTAATAAAGAGTAAAATTTTATTTATTTTTATTCCCTTCTTAATTCGCAAAAAACCTTTTACTTCTAGCGTTAGAAATATTAACAACTTTTTAATAAGTTTATAATAACTTGTCACCGATGTATCCGGTTTTAAATTCGTTACTGTGTATGCATGCATCTTCTCCAAAATAGAGTCACGTGGTCGATCGCGCGTCGCATGCGCGTGGAAATGTTGTGACTAGAATTCGCTCTTTCGTTATCACCCACGTGATAAAAGTCTATCTTGTTTCGATATAAAATTTTATAACGCAGTCTCCGCATGGTACGATATCTAAAAATATTAGAAAGAAACACAAAGTCAGCAATAAAATGTCAATTATCTAAATGACTAAGCTCGCGCGAGGTTATTTAAGGATGCGTAATTACTCACACGAGACGAGAATGAAGCAAGGCAGTATCCCTTGTTTACGCACAGAATTGAATCTTGCTCTTACGTTGCATGGTGGTCAAAGTTTCAGGTCAGATTTGAATTTACTTGTGCGATAAATAAAACTAAAAAAATGAGTAACTAAGAGAATGATTTTCAATAATTGAAGAATATTAATGATTGATAATGCATAAACTTTCTTCTTTTAAATTTTGTTCAAATTATAAAATTATAAAATGATGTCTATATTTTAGATGGACAAATTATGACACTGGATATAGAGGTATCTTTGACGGATGTATTTGGACTTTGTCTCAAGATGAAACCCATCTGTCATATACTGTACAAGGACAATTGAAAGATTCTGTAAATTATGATAATGTTCTATCTGAATATTTTAGACTGTCGATATCATTACAGGAACATTATAAAGAATGGGCTAGAACAGATACACATTTTCAAGAGTGTTTAGATGAAAATATTGTTGTTCGAATATTGAAGCAAGATATTGTAGAGAATTTATTCTCATTTATCTGTAGCTCTAATAACAATATATCAAGGTAATTTTAAAGAATTGTTTACAACCAAAATAAATTTAGTTTGCTAAATATTTGTTTACTTATTTTTAGGATATCAAGTATGGTTGAAAAATTATGTTCATTATTTGGTCGCAAAATATGCTTGATTGAAGATAAAGAATATTACGATTTTCCAACAATAGAAACTTTAAAAGAAAAAAATGTAGAAAATATATTAAAAAGAGAGAAATTTGGTTATCGTGCTGCATATATAGTTAATACGGCAGAGCGTTTGTCAGAATTGGGTGGGAAGGATTGGCTCCTACGTCTACAGAAGGAAAATAATATTTCTTACCAAGTTGCTAGAGAACAACTGATGACTCTGCCAGGAATTGGTCCCAAAGTTGCCGATTGTATATGTTTAATGTCATTAGGTTACTTAGATGCTATACCTGTTGATACTCATATTTTCCAAATAGCACAGGCAAATTATTTACCGCACCTAAAAAAACAGAAAACAGTTACACCAAAAATTCATACTGAAGTAAGTAATCATTTACGTAAATTATGGGGTCCTTTAGCTGGATGGGCACAAGCTATTGTATTTTCTACAAAAATCAATATGAAATCTAAATCAACTGGAACATTGAAACGCAAAAATAATGGAAATGAAAACGTAATACAAACGAAAGTACTTAAACCGATTTGATCGTTGTAGAATATTCTCTATTTCTCATCTTATCAACAGTATATATAATTTTATCCAAATAATTTGTCAAAAAACGTGTACATTAGCTTTTTAATAATAAATTAATAAATTTTATATATTACAAAAATCGATGAGCAACATAACTGGAAAAGGAATGTTTTTAATACCCTTTGTATCATGAAATAGATCTCGGAAAGAGATTTCAGAATAATTAGTTTAAAAAATACTTTAAGGAATTATTTATTTCATTCATACATAGTATATTTTGTATATTGTTTAGTAGAAACGTATTAACGCCTTTGTAATCATTACAGTTTTGATATAAAATTGAGTACATTTCTTGTATTTTAAAATTTTTTTATATTTTTAGATTTAATATTTCTTGCAGACCTGTATCATCTTTTTTTCTTGAGTTTTTTAAATCCTACAAGAGCATAATCAAAATCATCCAAAATAACATATTTTGCTGGATATTCCATTTCCTCTTCATCTTCATTATCTGCAAAAATATGATAGTTTATATTTATCTATAGCCTTGCTAGTTTACAGATATATTTAAGAAAAACAAAAATTTGATAGAATTACCAGTAGGCTTTTTTAATATATCGACAAAAATATTTTGGATAAGATAACGCAAACCAGGAATTGTTTTTGATAGATACGTCTTTTGTGAAGGTGATAAAATTGGTAGACAAGTAGTTTGTAGAGATACCGGTATTGAACAAGTGTAAGTTAATTTCATTGTACATTGAGCCATTGTAGAGCTCACTAAAGGATAAAGCGTAACATTATTCAGCATTGTAAAAGCCACACCTATACAAAAAGACAAAAATTATATTTCTAAACAAAGTATATTTGATGAAACATGTTCTCTTACCCAATGGCTTTCGGTTAATAAAATATTGTAATGTACCCCTCCAAGTATCAAGATGTATCCCAATTGAATTGTCTTGACCAAAGGTTGACCCATATTTATATATTTTACCATCATGTTGTAAATATCCTTTATATGAAAAACCCCAAGATTCTTTATCTCGTCCAAGCAGAGCACAAAAATCCTGACTTGCATCATGGAGTTCTGCATTTGGAGTTCCTACACCAATCATCTAATAAAAAGTGCTAAGAATTATACATGTAATCTCATAAAGCTATTTTTTAAATAAAATAATTTTTAATTTAAGAAATCTATTATCGATACAAACTTACTACATCAGTTCCATATATATGCGTTATCATTGAAATTTCCCAAAAATGATGTCTTTCTTTTTCCAATGGTTTGCTACCTTTTACAACAGCTGTACCAGTGCTATATACAGGATGAAATGTTACATTCAAGTTATCGTCTGATAATTTAATTGATGAAGTTGAATTTTTTTCATCCCAAACCCATTCATAATCCGATAAAGGATAATCTGTAAAAAAAAATGCATAATTATTCTTAAAAAAAAAAAATGCATAATTGTACTTAAAAAAAATGCGTAATTGTTGTTAAAATAATACGTAATTGTCTTGTTTTTACTTTTTTAAATAAGAAATGAGTGATATTTAATTACTTCAATGACAATTTACCATTATTCGTCTCTACATGTTGATCACATGTAACAGAGTCCATAGTTTCTGAATTATGTTTTGATCATTACATATTCATTTATCATGTTATATATATATTTTCTAAAGTCATCGACTAATGTAAATTATTAGCACGGACAGATGTTGGGCGTTATACTCGTGAAATCATATGAAAAAGTGATTTCGTAGACTATTTTACGTGAATCACGATTTAAGCCAGCTAAGGATACATTCACATGAGACATGTAAAAGCAAAATTTTTTAGAGCCAATCAGAAGTTGCATTGATAGTTGTGCATAGGCTGAATTCGGGGGGCGCGCTTAATAGCGCAAACTATCGCATCAGTCTATCCTTAATTTACATATAATGAGCAATAAAGATGAAATAATATGATAGTGCTAATAGCATACTCTCCGAATGTAGCCATAATATTCTACTCTTTTCCGCAGATTGGTTCTCAAGTCTACGACATATGATGCTATAGGAAAGGCTAATATTTCTTTATTGTATGAAAAATTGTTTTGAGCTCTTTTTTATTTTTTCATCCTTATGTTAAGTTCCAAAAACGTCTTCTCCGAGGAAAATTATATTTGATATAATATAGCATACGTAACATTAAAGACCATTGCACGTGAAAAAATTTTAATCGTAAGATCATAAGTAAATTGACCAATCAATTATTTATTCAAGAGAAGAGACTGATCAGATTGTAAAGATACAGTCTAAAAATAATCGATTGTAGTTGGTCAATTCGCTTACGACCTTACAATTGCTACTAAAATTTTTCACGTGCAATGGCTTAAACTACGTAATTCCATGTTTATGGAATTACTCGGAAGATAATACGATTACAATTTTTTGGTTATGTTTCATGCTATATCCACGATTTTTTTTGTTGTATTTTGTGTTACGTCCATAATTTTCTGATTTTATTCCGTGCTATGTTTACGAAATGTATAAATGATATTTATCTTAAAATATTTAGATTTAAAATAAATAGAATGATTTAAACTTAAATAAACGGTCATTGATAAAAAATGATGAACCAATAAGAAAAAAATCCTCCTAAGGCAAGTATTTGATTGGAAGGTTCCTAATAGGGATAATCTTAAATCACCAGCTTTCCCATACGAGTTTCTTTAGCCGTATGACGCAAGGCGGCAAATTCAAACGGGCTTGAAACATTTTTAACAAATTTTTGAAAATTGTTCTTGTTCGTTTTAATAATTTTTTTAAAAATAATTCTCTTTTATTTTTGTTCACATCGTATATTATATTATTCCGTACATATATATGTACATACATATTATACAAATATATGTATAAATTTATTTTAAAAATACTAAAAAAAAACAAATAAATACAAATGGAAGATTGTATATATAAAATCCATATATAAATCGCAAATGATATGTGAACATTCAGAATTTTACTCATTCCGCGGGGGGGGGGGGCTAGGGTCCCCACAAACACGAGGCATCTGCTCCGACCGAGAAACTTCTTATCACATCACAGAATATACACGTATATACGGTATGTGTGCGCGTGTGTGTACGTCCATATTTTTGGCAGACGTCCGACGTCGTTCGTCGACTGCTCGTCGACGGACGTCAGCGAGTAAGGCCTAACTCGCCACACTCGTGTTCAAAGGGGGATATTGCCAACGACTATCATGGGATTCTGAAAAGGCATAACCACAAAATTTCAATTCGCTCGGTCAAAAGGTGACTCCTGACTTAAAAGATATCGGTACGAACTCTTGGAAAAGCCGTGCTGTGGATGCATGCCAGTGTATTGGTACTCTCCCATCGTGGAATTACATAATGTATATGCATGAGTCACACAGTTTGTCACACGGTGTAAACTGCGGGGCGAGAAGAGGGGGAAGGGACGTGCAAATGTCAAAGTCATACGGCGC